ACAGCTCTAGCCATTGTGGCCATCTGAGGAGTGAGCCAACAGATAGAAGACTCTCTCCCTCTCTCTCTCTCTTTCTCTCTCCTCTCTCCCTCTCTCCCTCTCTCTGCCTCTCTGTAACTCTGCTTTTCAAATAAAAATAAAGAGAGAGAGAGAGAGAGAGAGAGAGAGAAAGAAAGAAGCAATCAGTGGGTCAGTTTCCAAAGGTACAATATGAGAACATTAATCTCAAAATAAACACTCTGAAGATTAAAATGTCTCACTTTGTTCTCAGGAAAATTAATGAAAGAGATCTACAACTGCATATATTCACCTGGTTATCTTGTTTTTAAAACTGCAGCTAAGGGGCCAGCACCATGACATTGCAGGTAAAGCCACTGCATCCCATATGAGTGCCAATTCAAGTCCCGGCCGCTCCTCTTCTGATCCAGCTCTCTGCTGTGGCCTGGGAAAGCAGTAGAAGATGGCCCAAGTCCTTGGGCCCCTGCACCTGCATGGAAGACCCAGAAGAAGCTCCTGGCTCCTGGCTTCAGATCAGCACAGCTCCGGCCATTGCGGCCAGTTGGGGAGTAAACAGCGGATGGAAGACCTCGCTATCTCTCTGCCGCTGCCTCTCTGTAACTCTGGCTTTCAAATAAATAAATTTTAAAAACAGCAGCTTGCCGGCACCGCAGCTCACTAGGCTAATCCTCCGCCTGCAGCGCTGGCACTCCAGGTTCTAGTCCCGGTCGGGGCACCGGATTCTGTCCCAGTTGCTCCTCTTCCACTCCAGCTCTCTGCTGTGGCCCGGGAAGGCAGTGGAGGATGGCCCAGGTCCTTGGGCTCAGCACCCACATGGGAGACCAGGAGAAGCACCTGGCTCCTGGCTTTGGATTGGCGCAGCAGCCATTTGGGGGTGAACCAACGGCAAAGGAAGACCTTTCTCTCTGTCTCTCTCTCTCTCACTGTCCACTCTGCCTGTCAAAAAAAAAAAAAAAAAAGCCCAACTGCATTGCTTGTTTCCTTAGGTGCTTCTTCAATTAATGATAAAACTTATTCTCAAAAAAAAGTATATTATTGCAAAAATCTTTAAAAAATTAAAAGGAAGTAGAAGGAAGAGTGAGAGTGAGGCAGGGAGGGAGAGAGGGGGAGAATGGGGTGGGAACTGTTATTGTATTCTTAAAACTGTATGTATGAGATACATGAAATTTGTTCCATTTATATAAATTTTAAAAATTAAATTTAAAAAGTCTTAGAACATCATCCTTGAGTTTAAACATTTTAATAACTTTGCAGAGGCCTTAATATAAAGAGCAGAATCATTGCCTACCATATTTTTTAAATATTTATTTATTTCAAATACAGAGTTACAGAGAGAGGTAGAGACAGAGAGAGAGAGGTCTTCTACCTGCTGATTCACTCCCCAGTTGGCTGCAATGGCTGGAGCTGTGCCTATCCGAAGCCAGGAGCCAGGCAGGAGCCAAGAGCTTCCACCAGGTCTCCCATGTGGGACTTGGGCCATCTTTCATTGCTTTCCCAGGCCATAGCAGAGAGCTGGATTGGAAGAGGAACAGCTGGGACAAGAACCGGTGCCCATATGGGATGCCGGCACTTTAGGCCAGGGCTTTAACCGGCTGCACCACAGAGTTGGCCCCTGTCTACCCATATTTTTTAAAGATTTTTTTAATATATAAAAAAGAGGACCTAAATGAAAGATCTCTGCAAGTGACATCCCAGTAGAAAGAACGGGCCATCAAAGAAGGAAGTACCTTTCTCTGAAGAGAGGAGTGAACTTCCACTTTGACTATGACCCTGTCTGAATAAGATCGAAGTTGGCGAACTCAAAAGGCTTCCATAGCCTTGGCAATTCATAACAAGAGCCTAGGGAGATTACTGACACCATAAACAAGAGTGTCGATTTGTTAAGTCAACAACAGGAGTCACTGTGCACTTACTCCTCATGTAGGATCTCTGTCCTTAATGTGTTGCTCAATGTGAATTAATGCTATAACTAGTACTCAAACAGTATTTTACACTTTATGTTCTGTGTGGGTGCAAACTGTTGAAATCTTTACTTAATATATATTAAATTGATCTTCTGTATATAAAGATAATTGAAAATGAATCTTGATGTGAATGGAATGGGAGAGGGAGTGGGAGTTGGGAGGGTTGCGGGTGGGAGGGAAGTTATGGGGGGTGGAGCCATTGTAATCCATAAGCTGTACTTTGGAAATTTATATTTACTAAATAAAAGTTTAAAAAAAAAGATGTTTTTTATTTGAAAGGCAGAGAGAGAGGGAAATATAAGAGATCTTCTACCCACTGGTTCATTCCCCAAATGGCCCAACAGCTGCAGCTGGGCCAGTCCATAGCCAGGAGCCAGGAGCTTCCTCCAGGTCTCCCACACATGGGTGCAGGGGCACAAACACTCAGGCCATCCTCCTCTGCCTTCCCAGGCACATCAGCAGGGAGCTGGATCTTAAGTGGAGCAGCCAGAATTTGAACCAGTGCCCACTGGGATGCCAGTGTTACTGTTATGCCACAGTGCTGGCCCTGGAACCAAGTTATTTCTATGGCAAACATTCTGCTAAGTACAGTGGGTAAGAAGCTAGGAGATGAGGGCCATTAAGTTCATCAAACCTCTAGCATCTCATCTCCAGACAGGAAATCGTCACCTCTCCTTGAAAGAACAGCAGCTCTCAAAAGCACGGTGATAGGCTGAAATGGCCCTGAGCCAGCCGCCACTAGTCCCACTGTGTGACAGGGCTGCCTGAACCGACTGGGTGAGGTGTGGTCCAGATGACGAGAGTCCGTGTCAGTGGGCCTGGGAATGCTCCTCAGGGGGCATGAATGATAAAGCAACAGACTCCAGCCTGTCTTCCTCTCAGCCTCTACCTCACCTGAGCCCTAGCTCCGTGTGGAATGAGGGCTGCTGCACCACTGGCCCAGGAGGAAAGCTCACTCACCACAATTAACTGGCTGTCCCAGTCTAACAGTGTGGGCTCTTAGCAGGATGACGGTTCATCTCTTCTTAGCTTTAGGAAGGCAGTGACAACACCGGGAGACTGAGCCTCGCTAGGATAAGGGGCCCAGGCATGGCTCACAAGGACAAGTAACAACGGTGCTTATCTAGCTCAGCCAGCAAGCAATGATGTCTGTTTCAGAAGGATGTGAAGGCTTACAGAACGGTGGAAGCAGGGGAAACAACAGTGTTAACAGATCAAACATTCAATCAGCTGGCAAGCATTTACCAAACACACATGCATCCACTCTGCACTGGGTACTGGTAACACAAAGATGGAGCAGCCACATCTCTTGTTCTTCTGTAACTTAGGCATAAACACATGCACATAGAAATACATATCTTGTGTGCGGGATAAACAAAGAGCGATTCAGTTTGGGATATGGGCTCTAGAGTGGGAGAGCTCCCGGACATCCTCCGAGTTTCGCTTAGGAGATAATTGGCTCGGGTGAGGTCCAGTCAGCAACTGACTGTCTCCTGGGTCTGCCGTGTAGGCACAAGGCCTTCTCTGGTGGTTCTGGGGGGACACAGAGGAATCTAGAATCAAAGCTAGATCCAGAGAAGCTGGAGTAGGCTAGCTCAGCACTGGAAAGGGACAGGGCATGAATGGGGTCCTCTAGGGTGGGACGTGGGGTAGAAGATGGGACAAAGAAAAACTGGTGAAGTCACAGAAACTGCAGGGAGTGCGCTCAGACACAAGAGGGGGAAGAGCCTTGCAGGCCAAGGACAGGAGCCAAGCACAGAATTCCAGAATGGGAGACTGCGGAAATGTCCACGCAGCTACCACGCTCCACGCGGTGTCTCCCCGATGTCACAGTCCTGAAGCACTGGGCCTGAGCCAGCGGGAGGAGAGGAATCAGGAAAGCAGGGAGCGGGGAAGAGCACAGCTTCAGATTCCATGTTCAGTGCTCACTAAAACCAGGCCAGGTTACTCTCTGTGTGCCAGGCCAACTTTTGTTGCTTTGAAAGTAAACTCCTTCATGGCCAGCTAATCCTCCACCTGTGGCGTCGGCACACCAGGTTCTAGTCCCAGTTGCTCCTCTTCCAGTCCAGCTCTCTGCTGTGGCCCAGGAGTGCAGTAGAGGATGGCCCAAGTGCTTGGGCCCTGCACCCCATGGGAGACCAGGAGGAAGCACCTGGCTTCTGGCTTCGGATCAGCACAGCACCGGCCATAGCAGCCATTTGGGGGGTGAACCAACAGAAGGAAGACCTTTCTCTCTGTCTCTATCTCATTGTCTATGTCTATAACTCTCTCTCTCTCTCTCGTCTCTCTCTCTCTCTCTCTGTCTAACTCTGCCTGGCAAAAATAAAATAAAAAAGAAAGTGAACTCTTTCATACAAGGTGCAGAGAGGAGTCAGATTCAAAGGGGAAAGGGAAAGGGCAGTTGCCAGGGGCTGGAGCTGTCTCATGGGTGTGAAAAGCCCTGGGCACGGGCTTCACACAGATGAACACACGTGACGCTCTCAACTGTATTCTTGTTAAAATTCATATTGTGTATATTTTACCGGTATCAAAATAAATAAATGAGCTACAAAATCATCTAGTTGCTTGGTAAGAAACTATGGTTCCCTCAGAACTGTCCCACTGGTGATGTTGGACACGTGTGTCGGAATATTTTCAGAATAGGAACCATCCAGTTTGCATTCGAGGTACAGGAAGAGGGTTTTGATTGCGGGCGTTTGCTTGGTTGTGGAAGAGGCTTCTGAGTCCTTCCAGCAGCTTTCTGCGTGGTGACTGGCCCAGGCGAGGTCCAGTCGTCAAGCCACATGACCCCCCCTTTTCCTGGGGAGTACCCCGGGGTACCCTAGAACAGGAGAAGCTGGGGCAGGATAAGCCGGGACAGGAAGAGGGTGGTGCCTGAAATAGGATCCTGGGAGGTGGGAGGGGGCAAACGATGGAACAGGGGAGTGAGCGGGGCCAAGTGAGATGGACCCCGGAAAGTAGCTCTGCCTGCCTGAGTCGCGGTCGCCTGGAGACAGCGCGGGACGCCGTTGCCTGGAGACAGCAGGACGCAGTTAGACGACTGCCGACTGCCGACTGCCGACTGCCAGGAACCCATCAGCAGCCAGTGGGCGTTGAGACCAGACCAGAGAGAGCCGCGACAAAGGCATGGCGGGCCACCAGAGGGACAAGGTGATTCCAGATGAGGTCCATCAAAACCAGATCTTCCGGGAGCTGTACCTCAAGGAGCTACGAACCCAGAAACTCTACACGCAGTACCACGTGAATCCCCTCCGAAAGGGTAAGGGCAAAGCGAGGCCAGAGCGGAAATCACCAGGCTCCGGCGCGGGTCCCAGGCGAGCAGAGGACGCCTTCTGTGATCTCTGTTCGCTTCCATGGCTTCAGGAGCCATGACCTTTGAGGTGCCTCCCTCCCATCACGTCAGATGTAGGAGGTATATAAAAATGCAGCCCCGCCTCCATTAAAGCACAACGTCACAAAACGGTGTTGAATGCATTTTTATAATTCTGCATTTGAAGTAATTATATTTTGCAGCCATTTTTGGTACTGTTTTTATATTTGCTGTCTTTTTAATGAGGGTATGGTTTCCTCAGGCTTATACTCTTCCCACATCCCTTCAGAATGTCCGCGGGGCCGGGGTGTTAGATTCCTGGCCCACGGAGCTCCCGGATAGCGCCCTTGTCAGGTGGTTTCATCTGGTCCTGAAACAGCAGATCCCCCTGAATGCCGCAGGGCCTCATGCCGAGCTCCACACCCCATGTCACCCACCTCTGCTCATCCCAGAAGGGTCTCACAAAGGCCAGTTGGAAAGCTGGGTTCATTCAGCTCCCTCTTCCCCACCCCTGCTCCCCCAAAACATCCTACTCAGCAGAAGGCACCACAGTCCCAAGCTGGAGCCCGCAGTCACCCTCAACACCTCTCCCTCCCTCCCTCCACACACTTGAAGTATTCTCAAGTCCTATTTATCCCTCCTCGGCATCCGTCTCACCTGACCTTTCCTAGTTCCCACCTCCACACATGGGAATGATCTCCACCTCGACTCAAGGCCACCCTGCAAGTAGCCCCTGCCTTGTCCTCTCTGTCCCCAGTCCCGAAGCCGCAGCAGGCCCTACTCTCTCCTGCCTGGAGTGGGCTCCCAACCACTCTTCTCTCCTACAAACTGCTCCCGCCAACCCATCCCCTGCACCACTGCTAGCTAGGGCTAGACTAAAAGGCCAATTTGGTTATGTCAGTCCCTCTGCAAAACCCTTCAGTGGCTCCCACAGTTTCTGAGCTAAGATGTGAATCAATCAGATGACAGTCTAAGACCTTTTGGATCTGGCTCTAGTTCCTGCCCATCTTCATCCCATACTCCCTGCCCTGGCTCTGACCCAGGCCCATTAGGAAATATTTAATGCCGCTGCTAGAGACTCCTGCACGTGCTTCTTTCTCTCCTGCCGTTTCTCAAGAAATGGGTTTCCCACATAAATCATGCCATGTTCCACTGCTTTACCTGCATGACCTGGGTAATTGTTCCAGGATTTCTCCCCCAAGTTCCGTGCCTCATTAACTGTATTCCACTCTATCCTGGCTATACAGAGAGGATGGAGTGTCTGCATTTTACGTGTGACTAACCTGTGTCCTCCAACTACTACTTCCAGGAAAACAAATTAATGTCCAATTCTGTTTAAGCTTGGGATAGTCCAGCAATTTAATCCTTGCAGGCTGGGAAGTTCCAAAGTGCCTTAGCCGACTTTGTCCTCTGACATCCAGCATGATAGCTGGTATGTGCTAGATATTCAGGAAGGGTTCATGGGGGTCCTGCCTAAAGCAGGCTTTAGAGAGGAGTGTTTTAACATGACCTGTGATGTTCTTTCTCTCCAGTCCACACGATCACAAGAAAGCCCATGTCTTGGCATGATAACCTGGAGGAACCCGCAGATGGTAAGTCCTGGGGATTGAGAATCCCATGGAAATAGAGTGCAGAGGAGCAGGACAACCTCTAAGGGTTGTGCTTTCTTGGGGCAAGCATCAGAGGTCCCTGTCTTGAACCTGAAAACTGGAATCATGTTAAATAATCTCCAAGACACTGGTGTATCCAATCATAACCCTGAAGTCAGTTTATTAACTGAACAAGAGTGTTCGCTGAGGCCTTAACATATCCCCTTCTTCATCAAACATTCAGGTGTTCGATGTTGCACGAACAGGCTCTAGTGACACTGAGTTCAAATCTTAGGTCTGCCACTCATTAAGTTAGTGATTTGGGTAGTGTTTTGTTTTGTTTTGTTTTGTTTTGTTTTTTTGACAGGCAGAGTGGACAGTGAGAGAGAGAGACAGAAAGAAAGGTCTTCCTTTGCCGTTGGTTCACCCTCCAATGGCCTCCGCGGCTGGCCCATCACGCTGATCCGAAGGCAGGAGCCAGGTGCTTCTCCTGGTCTCCCATGGGGTGCAGGGCCCAAGCACTTGGGCCATCCTCCACTGCCTTCCTGGGCCACAGCAGAGAGCTGGCCTGGAAGAGGGGCAACCGGGACAGAATCTGGCACCCTGACCGGGACTAGAACCCGGTGTGCCGGTGCCGCAAGGCAGAGGATTAGCCTAGTGAGCCGCGGCACCGGCCTTGGGTAGCTTTTTAAAACTTTTCAGAGACTATTAGCATAATTAGGAATAAAAGAATACAAGTGCTTGGAACAGGATCTGGTATGTGATGATCAGTGAATGCTAATATCTGCACTGTTACAATGTGATCATTACTATGAAAGGACTGCATAGGACAATCTCAAGCATAATGAGTGAGAAGACAAGAAAGCCCACTTGTGAATAAATAGACAGGTAAATTGGGAATAAGTATGGCGACAGGTGTCTGAGTCAGAGGGTGGAGTTTTGGGAAATCTTCCTGGACGAGGTGATTGTGGGGTGAGTTGGAGTTAAATATGGAAAGGCACAGAAATGAGAAATACCAGTGTGGTCAGAGAACTGTGAGTGCTTTGAGACGGACACACTAGGCACATGATAAGGAGACGATATTTAGAAATGAGAGAGGAGATCCATTTGGTGGGAAGTCTAATCCTCCCTATACAGTCCTCCACCTTCCTATAGAAGAATAATATGGTGGAAATCTGCTGGGTTTAAGTGATAGGAGTCAGTGGGAAGTGTGGGGAATAGAGACGCCCATAGCGTCATGAAGGAGACAGGACGTAGTAGACTAACAGAGGGTAAGCAAAGGAAGTCAGGTGTTATCTCTGGGGTACCGACCTGGCTGGAGTGAGGACGGAAATCTCAGCCTTGGAGCAGTAAGGGAAATAGCAGGTGATGAGTATCCTGAGAGCCAGGCAGCACATTGCAACCTGAATGACGTTACGGATATGCAGCCCGATGCCAAGCCCTTGATTCACAATGCTTGCTCCACTCTCATCCATCTTGCTGAGCATCACACAGTTCTGCCGTTTTACAGGTGGGTTATTAAGGGCCAGAGAAGGTAAGCCATCTGATCAGTGGGTAGTGGCAGCGCCAGGAGCGTCTGACTGCAAAGCCTAGAGTTATTCCATTGTCAAACTGCCTCTCTCAAATGTGACTTGATATAGGGGAGAAGAGCTATAGAGTTACAAATATATCGAATGCCAGCTGCCACACTGACTTTTACTACAGAAAGATCTGGCCACACCTCCTACCACGTTCCTTCACATGCTCACGCTGCAATAGCAAAGCTCGCCTGTGCCCTGGGTCTTTGTTCCCACTGCCTACAGGTGCCTTTCCTCTGCCTGTGCCCAGGGCTGGCTCCTGCCTGGTATTCAGAGACGCCCTCCCTCGCCATGCATTCCCATGCCCCTTGGCCTACTCCCCTCCTCACAGCATGTATCCCTGTCCACACGATGGGGCCCCCTGTCCCCCTCTCTGGGCCACAAGCCACAGGAAAGCAGAGATCATGAGTGTCTCACCCAGTGTTCTAACCCCAGGGCCAGGAACAGTGTGTGGCATAATTTTCTTGCTCAACACGTGCCCCCCTGTCTTGAGGTCTAGAGGAATCTCTGAGCCTGGGATACTCTGCCCCAGGAGCAATGTGGCCAGAATAAAGGGTACAGGGACACTCACTGGTCCCAAAGCTGGACTCCTTCCTAACTCCTGTCTCCCAGCCAGGTTTCTCAATCTCATTCACCATGCACACCAAGGACCAAGAAAGAAATACCCAGAGACTCAGACAGAAACTCAAGAAATCGGATGGGACTCAGAGCCCTTGGTAAGTGTGGCCCTTTCGCTTGGGAACACAGTAGCAACATACATGGTAACTAATAGAATAGAATAGGGAGCCAGACTTGCTTGGGTTGGAATTATGGTTACCACTAGCTAGCTGTGAGATCTGGGGTATATTACTAAGCCCTCCAATGACTTGGTTTCCTTTATAAAATGGAGATATTGCACTACTTACCTCAGAAGACAGTTCTGAGGATCAGATGAGGTAGAATTGGTGAAGTGCTCAGAACAGCATGTGGCACGTGGTGCCCAGAGGTAAGTGTTGATTCCGTAATGGTTGCTGATCCCAGGCTCTCCAGGTTTGCATTCCCAGTGACCAGTAGTAGGGTGGTCTTGGAGGTGTCGCTTAACACCTTGAGTGCCATTTCCTAATATGTGAAATGGAAATGCTAGCAGCAGTATTCTCATGTGAGCTCCCCAAATAAGGAGGGATTCCATTTCTAAAGAGGAAATGGGGAATTTGGAAAAGACAACTTGAAGTTTCTGTCACTTCTGTCTTTCATCACACAGAGAGCTTAACTTTTTTAAAAAAATTTATTTATTTATTTGAAAAAGAGAGAGAGATAGTTTCCATTTACTAGTTCACTCCCCAGATGGCCACAATGACCAAGAGCTGGGCCAGACCAAAGCCAAGAGCCAGGAACTTCATCCAGATCTCCCACATGGGTGGTAGGGCTCCAAGCACTTGGGCCATCTTCTGTTGCTTTCCCAGGCCATTATTAGAGAGCTGGATTGGAAGTGGAGCAGCCGGGAACCAGCCCCATATGGGATGCTGGCATCACAAGTGGCAGCTTTACCCATTACACCACAATGCTGGCCCTTTAACTTTGTAAAAAATGTATATTTATTTATTTGAAAAGCAGAAATATACAGAGAGAGGGAAGGACAGATCTTCTTCCATCTGCTGGTTCACTCCAAAATGGTTACAGCAGCTGAGGCTGGGCCAGGCTGAAGCCAGGAGCCTGTGCTTCCCATGTGGGTGGCAGGGGCCCAAGTACTTGGGCCATATTCAGCTGCTTTCCCATGTATCAGGTGGATCAGAAGTGGAACAGCAGGGACTCAAATCAGTGCTCATATGGGATGTTGCTGTTGCAGGTGGCCTTTAAAACAAACAAACAAAAAAAGATCTGTTTATTTATCCAAGAGGCAGAGTTAGAGAGAGAGATAGAGAGAGGGGAAGACAGAGAGAGAGTTCTTCCATCCGCTGGTTCACTCCCCAAATGGCCGCAATGGCTGGAGCTGGGCCGATCTGAAGCCAGGAGTCAGGAGCTTCTTCTGGATCGCCCATGTGGTGCTAGTGCCCAAACACTTGGACAATCCCCTACGGCTTTCCCAGGCCATTAGCAGAGGAGCTGGACTGGAAGTGGAGCAGCCAGGACATGAACCAGCACCCACATGGGATGCCGGCACTGCAGGCAGAGGCTTAGCCTACTACGCCATAGCACTGGCCCCTGCAGATGGCAGTTTAACCCACTGTGCCAGAAGGAAGCTGAAGTCATCAAGTATGCCAATCTTTTCCATTAGGGTATCTGGCATTCGTGCCTCAGGAAAATTCACACACACTTACAAAACAACTATTCTACACTTTCCCGTGTTTTTTCTTTCTTCTTTAAGATGTGTATTTTAATCCATTTGGTGTATTTTGTATATGGCTTGAGGTTAGCTTGCTCTGAACTACGTTATCTCCGAGGCACCAAGGCCCTGCGTCACCTGCACCTGCACATTTGCTGTCCCTTCTTCTTGTCTCCTGACCCCCAGGCAGAGTCCTGGGTACACTAGGGAAGTCTTACTTATCCTTCCAGACCCAGCTCAGGCGTCGCCTTTTCCACTAAGCAGCTTCTGCCATTGCACTACCCTCCAGGGTCTGGCCCTTCTTCCTTCTGCTTCTGTAGCCCCATGCGCCCCCTGCTGGTGCAGCATTGAATTCCCTATGAGTATATCAGTGTGACATGGCCACTGGGAAGCTAGAGGGCCTGAGGTCACACCCTGACTCCATCACCTTCTTGCTGTGTAGCCGTAACCTCTCTTAACCTCCACTGATCATCTTCAGATGGGGAGCGTGACAACATCCAACCTCAAAGGTTTGTGGTGAGTACTAAATGAAACTGTATAGAGAAACTGCCCTGGATAGCGCCTAGCACATAGCAAGCGCCCAAAGTGGGCTACTGTTGCTGTGGATTCATTTCCGAGAGGAAGAGCGTAGTGAGGGCAAGAGGCATGGAGTCACCACACAGACCCCGGGAGTCGGGTGAAAGCAGGCCTGAGGCAAGCAGCCTGCAGACTCATTTATTTCAGTTGCTACAGTAGCTTATATAGCCAAGGCCAACCAATCCAGTCAAGGGGTGGTCTGTGCCCTAACCAATCACACCCTGTTGCCAGGCAGTTTCCGAAGCCATCCAATCACAGCCTGTTGCCAGGCAGACTCCGTTGTCATGTGGTTTCCGAAGCCATCCAATCACAACCTGTTGTGAGTTTCTGTTGCCAGCGGCAATCTCGGCATGACCTTCTCATTCCACCACAGGCTACTCTGATATTGATGAGAAAGAATAGAAAGAGGGTACGGAGCCAAACCATTTAGGTGTCTTGTTGCTGTTGTTGTTCCTTCCAGTTGTCTTCATGCACTGGGTCATCTGTCGCGTTCCCTCTCCAGGACAATTCTCTCATTCCTGCTGCAGGAGCCTGGCCTTCTCATCTGCCACATGGCTGTGCCCATGGCTGCTTCCTGAGGATCTGAACAAATGGCTCAGTGAGGCAAGGTGTTATCAGCAAGGAAGAAAATACGCTTCTCACTTGTAATAGCTTCTTTTCAAGGCGGGCATTGCCTTGGAGAGAGGAGGCTCTGGGAGACAGGGAAGACATTCTAGTAGGAAACCACACATAACTAACACAAGGAAGGATGAGTCATAAGGGAGAGGTACGGGCAGAGGGCCAGAGAGGAGAGGGCAGAGGAATCATTAGAAACAGGAGAAAGGGGGCAGGACCTAACAGAGCACAGAAGGGAAGGATGTTAATGAGGAAATTAGTGAAAAATATTGAAAGTGAAAAACGAATCAGTTAGCCAATTATTGTTGAGTATCAGAAGGAAGGTCATATGAGGGAGGAGCTATCACTACAGACATAGGGACCCTATGGGACTTTGCAGAGAGGGAGAAAGTTTGGGCCCAATTCTAAATATGGTATGGACAGGGGAATTCATTGCGAATTAGCAAGGAGAGGGGTCAATGGATGCAGATTACCGAGAGGAAGCTTCAGGGGAAAGGGAGGACTCTGGGTAACTGGCCATACAGGATTGCTGCTGAAGGCAGGCCCAGGTGGTCACACATGACCAGGTCAATTGTGAAAGATGAGAAACCTGATTGGCTAAGTCGGAGTTTGTACTTAAACTGACGTAGCAGGGTTTTTACTACAATTGGATAATGCAAGGATGAACATGGGTGCCCAAAGGCAGACCTATGGACAAAGAGTTCAGGACAGACTGAGTGGGGTTTAGGCAATATGTGAAAATCTGTCTGGGGAGAGAAGGAGGAGGGTTGTGAAGGAAAGAAGGTTGGGGTAAGGATAAAAACCATCCAAGTTAGATCATTAACAACTTAGAAAAAATACAAGACAAAGTTATTAAACCATGACTTCATTTCATTAAAGAAGACAGGGCCCTGCATCCCATGGAAGACCAGGAGGAAGTACCTGGCTCCTGGCTTCGGATCGGCACAGTGCACCAGCCGCAGCGGCCATTTGGGGGTGAATCAACAGAAGGAAGACCTTTCTCTCTGTCTCTCTCTCTCACTCTCTAACTCTGCCTGTCAAAAAAAAAATTAAAAATAAAAGAAGGCTGGCGCCATGGCTCAATAGGCTAATCCTCCTCCTGCAGCGGCACACCGGGTTCTAGTCCCAGTCGGTGCGCCGGATTCTGTCCCGGTTGCCCCTCTTCCAGGCCAGCTCTCTGCTGTGGCCAGGGAGTGCAGTGGAGGATGGCCCAAGTGCTTGGGCCCTGAACCCCATGGGAGACCAGGATAAGCACCTGGCTTCTGCCTTCGGATCAGCAAGGTGCACTGGCCACAGCGCGCCGGCCGCAGCAGCCATTGGAGGGTGAACCAACGGCAAAAGGAAGACCTTTCTCTCTGTCTCTCTCTCTCACTGTCCACTCTTCCTGTCAAAAAAGAAAGAAGAAGAAGAAGAAGAAGAAGAAGAAGGAGGAGGAGGAGGAGGAGGAGGAGGAGGAGGAGGAGGAGGAGGAGGAGAAGACAGGTCTGGGTTAAAGGCACGTGTGTGGAACTATCATTTTTGACCTCCTGGCCTTTTTGGGGCAGGCTTACCACGAATGACAGGAAGGACCACTGTGGCTGGCCCGGCCACGTTTGCCCAGCTCAGACCCTCCCAGACCCTGCAGATAACAGACTGCACGCACCCCAAAGGGTCTGCAAATGCTCCATACCTGCTCACTGTTATAAATCTGGGGGCAGTGCCATCAGAGGCTGCTGGTAGCAGAATAATAAGATACCCCCCAAAACCCTGAGGTCCCAGTGTTGTGCAAACATGAAAGGTAATTAATCTGGAGTCCCAGAATGCTGTGGTTGGGGTGGGAAAGGCTCTATCACTTGGAGCTCCCCTGCACTGGTCAAGCATAGGCAGAGTCCTCCCAGCCTCAATCCTGAGTCGCCGAGGAAGCCAGACAGTGAGCCCCTCTCAGACTGCAAACACTTGCTGAAAATAGTCAGGAAAATGTTCCAGAAATGAGTTTCCCTCACGTGGAATGCTTGAAACCAGAAGCATTTTGTGTTTCAGATTTTGTCAGATTATAGAACATTTTCTATACATAATGAGGTATCTTGGTACTGGGACTGAAGTCCAAAAACAAAGTTCATTTAAGTTTTTCATACACTTTACCCATACAGCATGAAAGTAGTAGTATGGGGGCTGGTGCTATGGCGTAGCAGGTAAAGCCATCACCTGCAGAGCCGGCGTCCCATATGGGCTCTGGTTCGAGTCTCAGATGCTCCACTTCCAATCCAGCTCTCTGCTATGGCCTGGGAAAGCAATAGAAGATGGCCCAAATCCTTGGACCCCTGCACCCATGTGGGAGACCTGGAAGAAGCTCCTGGCTCCTGACTTCGGATTGGCACAGCTCTGGCCATTGTGGCCATCTGGGAAATGAACCAGCAGATGGAAGACCGTTCTCTCTCTCTGCCCCTGCCTCTCTGTAGCTCTGCCTTTCAGATAAATAAATAAATCTTTAAAAAAGGTAATAGTATGACATTTTAGAGAGGGAAAAGAGGTTATATTATCATGTACACCATTTAATTCAGTGAAGCAATATTTATAACTATATGCCAAATAATATGGCATCCACACAACTTTTATTCCTTCTTTCTCTCTGTCTCTCTCTCTGTGTGTGTGTGTGTGTGTGTGTATACATTTATATACATATATTTCCACAAATAAGAAAAAACATGATATTTGTCTTTCTGGGTCTGACTTTTTTCACTTAGCATATCAATCTCCATCCTTTTTGTTGCAAATGTCAGTATTTCATTCTTTCTTATGGCTAATATTCCATTAGTATATTTACCACATTTTCTTTATCCACTTATCAGCTGATGGACATCTAGGTTGATTGCACACCTTTGCTAGTGTGAATTGGGCCGCAGGTATCTCTTTCATACTCTTATCTCAATTCCTTTGGATGTATTCCCAGCAGTAGGATAGTTGGGTCATGTAAGTGGATCTGTTAGTTTTTCAGGAGTCTCCACACTGTTTTCCATAATGGCAATTTTTGTATGAAACAAAGTCTCAAGATGTAAAATTTTCTCATCTTGAGCATCATGTCATCACTCAATAAGATTTCAGCTTTGAGACATTTCACATTTTGGACCTCTGGATCGGGATGCTCAGCCTTTGGGTTGATGGCACAGTGCGGCTTTTGTCAGATGTAAGTGTCAGCGCACCCGCTTTTGCTCGGATCTTAGTGACTGCTTTAGCAAAGTCACTGCTTGATGTGATCTGGGGGACCGCATGTGTGCAGAAGACCATGGTGCTGGATGCGCAAAGGCAGTGGCAGCTCCTTCCCTCTCAGACCACACTCTTCATTGGGAGGAAGAGTGCCTGGTATGGCCCCCAAGGCAGGCAGTGGGAGAGGGAGCCAGCGACTCCGCACAGGTTCTTCTCCTTCAGCCTCACTGCTCCTTCCGCGTCAGTGTTGTCATCTCCATGTCACAGGCAGCCTTAAGCAAGCAGCAGCACCAGCCTCAGGAGAGCAGGGCCTGATGAGAGCCCCACAACTGTTCTCTAATCCTGTGTCCTCTTCCTTAGGTCAACCCTGAGCGCAACGACCACAGGCTGAACCACTTCAGGGTCTACAACGACATCACGCTCTACAAGGCTAAAATGTGGAGCTTGGGGGAAGACAGTCGCCGCACATAGCATCGCCGCAGTGGAGTCGGTCCTGGTACTGAAGGAACACCCAAGGGTGCACGGCCCAGAGAAATAAAGTTTACTTCAAAGCCTGAGACTCCTGAGCCTATCCTGAGTCTCCCTTGCCTCGTCTCCACCCAAGTCCACAGGTTCAAAACCTTCCAAACCACTGTGAGAAACCAGGCAAAGATGGCACTCCAATGTAATTGTCTTCTCTTCCTTCCTGCATGCAATAAATAATGACCAAGGGGTGTTTGTAAAAAGGTAAAAGCCCACAGCAACAGAAAGAATGAGAGAAACACAAGCAAGTAAGAACATTGTGGATTTAAGTGGACTGATGGAGGAGGGTGGAGGAGACCAGCAGGCAAGCTGAATGGGAAGCTCTAAGCAGAAAGCCCTGGCCTCCCAGCACTCTGGAGAGAGGCTCGGGACCCTGCGACTGAGCAGGACATGCAGCAGAAACCCACTGCTGGGCGCTGGAGGGGAGGCTGCGGGTCCCTACTCCACACAGCCCAGCAGTCAGGTTGGTAGCCTCACTCCCACCCTGGAGACTGAAGCTTCAGTCCTAAAGGAATCAGAGAAGCCTGGAACTCAGCGACAGTAAAACAGGGTAGGAGTGAGGTGTGGGATTGAAAACAATGACAGGCCGGCACTGCAGCTCAATAGGCTAATCCTCCGCCTGCGGCACCGGCACACCGGGTTCTAGTCCCGGTCGGGATGCCAGATTCTGTCCCGGTTGCTCCTCTTCCAGGCCAGCTCTCTGCTGTGGCCCGGGAGTGCAGTGGAGGATGGCCCAAGTGCTTGGGCCCTGAACCCCATGGGAGACCAGGAGAAGCACCTGGCTCCTGGCTTCGGATCAGCGCGGTGTGCCGGCCACAGCGGCCATTGGAGGGTGAACCAACGGCAAAGGAAGACCTTTCTCTCTGTCTCTCTCTCTCTCACTGTCCACTCTGCCTGTCAAAAAAAAAAAAAAATGACAATCCACAAAATGCAGATTGACCCCTAACCCACCTACTCGCCCACCCACACCCCACATTTTTACCTTTTTCTCTCTGAAAAATGAAGCAACTTTAAAGAATTGACTCCCACATAGTTCTGTAAAAGGGTCCTTCAAGAAAAGGACCAGGGAAGTCATTTTCCCCATGAGGATCTTAACCTTTCTCCTGAGCCTAATCTTAGTGAGCTAGCACCAGATTTACAGCTTCTGCTCAGCTTCTGCAGCCAGGGCTCTCCACGGCGCGGCCACTAGGTCATGAACCTCAGCATGGTGTAATTGACTGGTGGGGGGGCTGTGTTTGCAGCAGTCTGGTCTCCTACACTCTAGGGTGCTACACACCACTAGGGCAAGAGTAGAAGGCATGAGGGATGCCATAGCTCCTGCTCCTCATGGAGCTAGGAAGTTATACCAAGAAGCAGAAAACCAACAAGACAAGTCAGAGGTATCCTTACAGATGGAAGAGCCAGCAAATAAGGAACATCATCTAAGAATTCATCACTGAGCTGGATATGAAGGCTCAAAAAGGAGAGATGAAATTGCACAGGCACCTAATGCAATAATGCAGCAAGTAAATGGAAACAACTTCGCTGCCACAGAAATACCAAATGGTCAGTTCCAGAAAGTTAAGAGTTCTCCTTGGGACTGGCACTGTGGTGTAGTAGGTAAAGCCGCCGCCTGCAGTGCCAGCATCCCATACGGGCACCAGTTCAAGACCTGGCTGCTCCACTTCCAATCCAGCTCTCTGCTGTGGCCTGGGAAAGCAGTAGAAGATGGCCCAAGTCCTTGCCCTGCACCTGCATGGGAGACCCAGAAGAAGCTCCTGGCTCCTGGCTTCAGATTGGTGTAGCTCTGGCCATTGTGGCCATCTGGGGAATGAACCAGCGGATGGAAGACTTCTCTTTCTCTGCCTCTCCTTCTCTTTGTGTGTAACTCTGATTTTCAAATCAATAAATCTTTAAAAAAAAATAGTTCTTTGGCCGGCACCGCGGCTCACTAGGCTAATCCTCCACCTGCAGCACCGGCACACCAGGTTCTAGTCCCGGTTGGGGCGCCGGATTCTGTCCCGGTTGCCCCTCTTCCAGGCCAGCTCTCTGCTGTGGCCAGGGAGTGCAGTGGAGGATGGCCCAGGTGCTTGGGCCCTGCACCCCATGGGAGACCAGGAGAAGAACCTGGCTCCTGGCTTCGGACCAGCGCGGTGCACCAGCTGCTGCTTGCCAGCCACAGCGGCCATTGAGGAGTGAACCAACGGCAAAGGAAGACCTTTCTCTCTGTGTCTCTCTCACTGTCCACTCTGCCTATAAAAAAAAAAATAGTTCTTCCCCATGACCCACAGGTTGCATAATTGTTTGACCATTCTCTGTGCCAAGAGAATCCTAAAAGTCAGGGGACCACACTGCCCTCCTAAGGTGCACTAGAGACTCATCAGCTCAGCCTTCCAAGTAGCAGGGACCATGAGAGGAAGCAGCGGAGAGCCTCACCTTCATATACACTATACCGGGATGAAGAAACAGGGAAAACTTAGACTCGACCAAGCCCTAACAGGACTGCTGAAGAGTGGAGATAAAAGGGCACGTGGGAGGAGGAGCAAGCTAAGGAAAGGCCAGCCTGACAAAGCCTCGTGAGCCAGGAGGGCCCAAGGGGAAGAAAAGGCAGATGATGTGCAGCCAGCTCTTGTCCTGGCCGCATTTCCTAGAAGAAGGAATGAAACAAGGAAGGGGCAGCAGGGTCTGGCTTCACAGAAATGCCTTGGTTTCATGAAGTTCTAAGCCACAGAATTTTGCAGTAATGCAAGAGCACAAAGAATAGTGATCTTTCAGGTGGTTGCCAGATCCCAACAAACATCAAAATACCTGAACAAGCACAAAGCTATGCATTTATCAACAAATCAGCCAAATTTGGAGGGAACATGTAATCCTCTTTTGAAGAGTAGTCTCCTTCCCAAGGGGAAAAATTCAGTTACGGGACACTGCAATAGTTCAAACAAGGAACTTGTTCTCACTTTTTCAAAGTATGCTACATGTGAATTCCTACCCCTCTGAACCAACTTATTAAGAACATGTTATGGGAAGGTCGCATTAGGATCCTCAGGTCTTACTCCTTGTTGGGTATTATAAATATGTGCTAGAACATGAGCAGTTTACCAGTTTTTCAATCTAAGAAGAGGGGCTGGTGCCGTGGCTCACTTGGTTAATCTTCCGCCTGCAGCGCCGACATCCCATATAGACACCAGATTCTAGTCCCGGTTGCTCCTCTTCCAGTCCAGCTCTCTGCTGTGGCCCGGGAGGGCAGTGGAGGATGGCCCAAGTGCTTGGACCTTGCACCTGCATGGGAGACCAGGAAGAAGCACCTGGTTCCTGGCTTCAGATCAGTGCAGTGCCGGTTGTAGCAGCCATTTGGGGAGTGAACCAAAGGAAGGAAGACCTTTCTCTCTGTCTCTCTCTCACTGTCTATAACTCTACCTGTCAAATAAATAAAAAAAAAAAAACTAAGAAGATGCAAAAATTTTAGACAAAAAGTAAAGCTAACTTCCAAATTTTGAAATGTACTACTTTGTTTTTTCATTGATTGTATTAGATAATGAAGAAATTGTAAAAGATGTCTGATTGTAGAGGGAGGAGCAATGTATCTCACCAGAGGAAAATATGACCCATTATTCAAATAAAGCTAGGTATATTTTGTCTTTGGATCTACACTTTTGTTTAGTTTTGAGAAAAAGAAAGCCATGAATTCACTAATTTATACTATACTTTCAGTAAAGATGGAAACCCTATTTCTCACCATGTATAAAAATAAACTCAAAATGGATTAAAGATGTAAATATACGACCTGAATCTTTGAAATTTCTAGAAGAAAGCATAGGCAAAACAATAAGGGACATCAGAATGGGCAAGGATTTTCTCGATCAGCCCTCAGAAGCACAGTAAACAAAAGAAAAATAGACAAATGAGATTTTACCAAGTTAAAGAGCATCTTCATATCAAAGGAAACAGTCAACAGAATGAAGACACAAAATCCAGAATTGGAGGAAGTATTTTCAAGCTGGACAAGGGGTTAATGACCAAAATATGTAAGGGACTCAAATAACTCAACAGCAAGAGCAAAAAACAATAAGAAGCAGACCTGTCATTTCTCAAAGGAAGACACAAATGACCAACAGGCACACGCAAAAAATGTTCAGTATGCTAGCCATCAGGGAAATGCAAGCCAAAACTACAATGAGATATCATCTCACTCCAGGTAGATTGACTACTACTTTAAAAAAAAAAGGAAAAGATAGCAAGTGTTGGTGACTGTGTGAAGAAAAGGGAATACCAGCACTGTTTGTGAGAATGTAAATGAGTACAGTCATTGTAGAAAACACTATTAAGGTTCTCAAAGTCTACAACCCCACTCTTGGGTATATATCCAAGGGAAATGAAATCCATCCCTTGAAGAGACATCTGCATTCCAGTGTTTATTGCAGCACAGTGTTTATATGCAGCTAAGAAACAGAAACAACCTAAGTATCCATCCACTGATGAATGGATAAAGATAATGTGGAACATATACATGATGGAATGTTGCACAGCCATAAAAAGGATATGCAACATGGATGGAGCTGAAGCTTGTTACATTAAGTAAATAAACCAAGCACAGAAAGAGAAATATCACATGATCTCACTCAGATGTGGAGTTGAAAAAAGGTGATCTCAATGAAGTGAAACAGATGATGGCGGTTCTCTACCATAGGCTAAGTAGAGAAGGTTGGAGGCAGGGAAGGGGAAAGGTTGATTGATGGATACTAAGGCATCATTAAATGGTAGCAAGAAGTTCTAGGGTTCCACTGCACAGTATGGTGGCTATATTTTTCAGTTTTAAAAAAAACTTTTGGGATATTTTCATTATAAAGAAATGTTAAATGTTTGAACAGATAAACATATTTATCCTGATTGGACTTGCACAATGTTTATGTGTATTGAAACATCACGTAGAACTCAATAAATGTATGTAATTTTATGTCTGTTAAATCAAAAAATTAAAATTAAACTAAAAGAATACCCAGATTTCAGAAAAGAGGCAAAATTTTTAGAAATGGGAAGAACCCATGTGAATAATGAAAGGAATGGAATGTTACTATTTGCATGTGCAAGCCTAACAAAGTCTACCTCGTCCAAATAGAAAGTAAAATAGTGCTCACCTGAGGGTGCGAAGGTTGAAGAGCATGGAGGGGGATGGAGAGAGAAAGTTCTCCAGGTATGAGGGGAAGAAGAATGGCAGGTCACCCCCTAATGTTCTTCAGTACAAGTACATCAGAGTAACTGCTTGACAACAATTCACTTTGTATCTCCAAATGGCAGGAAGAGTAGCATTTGAATGATCCCAACACAAACATGATACATGTTGGAGGTTACGGCTTTAACCATTACCCTGATCTGATCTGATCATGGCACACTGTATATATGTATTGAAATTTCACACTGTATAAACATATACAGTTATTACATGTCAATGAAAATTTATTTTCATATTTTGAAAAAGAAAGTGCTTTCAAGAACAAGACAGAATCCTGGAGACCTGAAGGTGGCAGTGCCAGGAAAGGTGATGAACCACACAAGCCTGTAGGGAGCAGGAGACTTTGTTGCAGGAAGAGATGAATGGTGCTTGGACAGGAACTGGAAGGAGCAAGGAGAATCTGCTCATCCCACTCTCACTCTGGAGCACTCCAGAGCTCAAGAAATGAGCCATCCTACAGCAGATGCGTGGAAGCAATGCCCTTCTCAAGGGAAATCCATGGAGCTGCAAGCAATAGTCAAAGCAGCAGCAGCCTACCAGAGATCATGACTAAGCACGTGGATGGGACTTTCAAAGAGCACCACAATCGATTTGTGAAGTATGAGAGAAAAAAGAAAAAAGGTAAGAGTTATCTGTACACTCATGTTCATTTCAGCCCTATTTACAATAGCTAAGATATGGAATCAACCCAGGTGTCCATCAGCTGAAGACTGGCTAAAGAAATTCTGGTATATGTACATTATGGAATACTACACAGCAGGAAAAAATGAAATCCTGTCATTTGCAACAAAATGGAAGCAAGCGGAAACCATTACACTTAGTGAAATAGCCAGTCACAGAAGGACTAATAGCATATGGTCTCTCTGATCTGTGGTAACTAACAGAGTACTTAAAATGTAATCTGTAAGAGTGAAACTGACACTTTGAGATACCACAATTTTGATCAGCCCTTGCCTTGACTGTTGGGGAGCAATGTTTTTCTGGTTTGTTTGTTTGTTTTTGTTCTTTTTTTTTTTCATACTAATCAGTGAACCATCTACTTGTTGTAGGGTATAAAAATTAACTGAAAATTGATCTCTGTAAAAAATAAGAATGGGAAAGGCAGAGGGAGGAGGAAGAAAGGCGGGAGTATGGGGGGGAAGGTAGCAGGGGAAGAAGCATCACATTCTCAAATCTGTATATATTAAGTGCATGAAGTTGTATTCCTTAAACAAATCTTTTAAAAAAAAGGTATTGAATCAGGAGAAAAATCGGAATCTGATGCTGATACAGTGCAGGAGAGATGGGGGACTGAAATGGTGGCTGGCTCGATGGTGATCAAAATAACTCGGTCTGGTCAGAAGGGCAGGCTGCTGTATCAGACAAAAGAGCAGGGCAGGGAGCAGCGGCCTCCTTGACCATCTGGTGCAGAGTTCAGCAGCTCAGGCAGTCAGCGTGACAGTGCGCATCCTGTCCTCCGGCACCCGGGAGCAGGAGCCATGCTGCCAGCATTGTCACTGGGTTTCTGGTTCCAAGTATGACTTCGGCAACAAACCAAGGGGCCTAAGATTTAAAGAGCAGAGTTCTGCCTTGAGCATCCTGCCCCAGCGCAGCAGAGGGGGTCAAGCTGCACATCAGCACTCTGCCTCATGTCATTTTCCTGCCTGTAGGCCTCCTTCTCTGGACCCTCGTTCTAGTTCCACCACTCTGTCGCTCACAGCCCGCCCAGGAGAATTCCTTCTCTGGTCTTTCCCACCCTCCACCGTGGTGAGATGGACATAGCATCTCTCCTGAGTTACCCCATATTCATGCAGGGATAGATAGTGCAGGGAAGGGCTGTAGAAAATGTAGGACAGTGAATAGCCTGGGGCACTGACTTCCTCCTGTAGTTCCCAAGTCCTGAATGCAAACGTCTGGCCTAGGCCTCTGCTCCCTAACTGCATCCATGCCCTTTGGTCACTCTTTGCCTACTGAGAGGACAGCTACATGGTGCCCCAAGAGCAGGGGCCATTGCTACAGGCCCCATTGTTTCTCTTTCCTATTTCCCCATGATCACTCTGCAACCTACACCAGGGACCATTGCTCTGGTGGGCGGGGCCTGCTCACAGCACTGCAGGGGAGGGGCAAGTTGGTGTCATAATGTGCATTATGCCTGGGGGATGTTCTGTGTGTCGGGGGAGCTGTGTGACAGCAAAGCTGCAGGAGACCTGGGTACTGCCAAGTCCTTTTTTTCCCCCCAGGATGAGCAAGCAGAAGCCTCTTTCCAAAAAATGACCAAAAAGCTACCTACTACTTGGGAATTGAATCCCCATCGTCCCGCGGTATCTGCACCCCAGCCTCAGCCGCCCTCTGGTGTTGCACACCCGCCCCAAGCTCCTTCTCGTCCTACATGCCGGCCTCACCCTCCTTCTATCCCCAAACGCAGGCCTCACCCTCCTCCCCGGCCCACAGGCCCCCCGCAACCTCCTTCCGGCCCCACGTGCCAGCGCTACCCCCCTATTCCTCCATCCTGGCCTCGCCCGCCGTGTGTTCTGAGAGGCCGGCCTTGTCCTCCAGTTCCCACACGCCGCCTTCGCCCTCCCGGGATTGCACCCCAGCCTCGCCCCACTCCTGACGCCCCCCACCAGCCGCCCTCTCCCTCCGACGCCCCGCTGCAGCCGCTCCAGCTCCGCCCTCCTCCACGCTACAGTCCTCTTTTCCACGTTCCTGCGGACTCTCCGCACTTGGTCAGCTCCGAGACCATGCCCCACTGCGATCAGCCTCTCACGGTCTTCTGCTCCACTTCCCTGGCTCCCCTGCCTTGCAACTCTCCCTACTACCCTACCTTCATCCTCTCCCTGCCCAGCTTTTCCGCTGCTCCGGCGCGACCTCCCAGGCACGCCCCTGAGGGATTCCCTCCTCTGTCCCATTCCTCCTCCTAACAGCCTTCCTTCCAGTCCCCTGTACTCCATTCTGCCCCCACCCCCACCCGTTCATGTGCATCCAAACCTGGTCATTCACAAAGCTCATCCTGGAGATACGCTTTCCCAACCACGGGGACAGTTCTGGCGCAGCTCACAACTCTAAGGACTCTGGATTCCCTGCAGCCCGACCTGGTGGGCCCAGGAAAGATGGGACCGTGGCAAGCCAACCCTCAGCCCGAGAAGTCACCTCGGTTAGTTACAGGACCCTTTCCAAGAGCAGGGCCCAGTGGTCTGACCCTTCATCCCCATCCTGTTAACCCTCTGCCAATGCCAGGAGACCTTTAACCAGGTCCTTTATTCCACACAGGCTGTACATTTCCTCTCCCGCCTGCGTAAAGAGCCTGCATCAGCCTCTGTGCTTACAACTGGCTTCCTCATGGAACAGCACTGCCGGCCATGCACTGCTTGAAAATAGTTATTCCGTGTATCTTGTGCAGTTTGCTCCTTGTTAGCAGAGAGTCCACTTACTGCATCACAACCAGAAGTGAAAGTCTTCTTTTATTTTTTGCCTTGTTCTTGCCTCCTCTGTCTCCTTATCCAAACATTGATGCTATGCACCTAGAATTTGTACACTTAAAGGCAGTCCATTTTTAATTTCATTAATATAATTCTATTATAAACTTTTCCATTCTTTTTTTTTTTTTTTTTTTTTTTTTTTGGGACAGGCAGAGTGGACAGTGAGAGAGAGAGACAGAGAGAAAGGTCTTCCTTTGCCATTGGTTCACCCTCCAATGGCCGCCGTGGCCGGCGCACCGCACTGATCCGATGGCAGGAGCCAGGTACTTCTCCTGGTCTCCCATGGGGTGCAGGGCCCAAGGACTTGGGCCATCTTCCACTGCACTCCCTGGCCACAGCAGTCCATTCTTTTTCCAATTAACACAGTTTTTACTATTGCTGCAGTCTATCTGGCTTGGTTTCTAACTGCCATATAGTTGCCTCAGCTCAGTGGGTATATCCATTCTTTTTTTTTTTAATAAGTTCTATGTTACAAAATAGATTTAGTTTTCTTCTTCATAGAGATTTCATGCATCCCTTCTTAGGTGAACCAACAGACAATGTGGTTTGTTGCTAATGGGGATGGTATCATGCTTGCATTATATCTTCTGATGATTCCCTGTTAAGGGTGCTGATAGGTGCGATGTGAAGTGAGAAGGAGCCACGATATTTCTGGAGAAATCATTCTGCTAAGAACACAAGGTAAGACGTTAAACACTAGGGCCGTTATGTGTTGTCAACTCTCCAGTATTTCTGATTATGTAGTCTCCCGCAGGAATGCATCCTTTATCCCTGAAAGAATAATTGCCTTCACAGCATGCTGATGGCCTAAAGGACCCAAAGCAAGGAGAAGCTAGGCTCATGGTGTCACTGGGTCAGCCTGATCTGGACTGGGCTATCATACCTATGGCCAGAGCTCATATCAGAGAACCTGGGAATATAAAACGGTGCTTTGGGGACAGGAAGAAATGAAGCCACAGAAATTTCAGCCCCTTCTGTACTTCGCAGGGTTGGTGGGCTTCTGAATCCTCATATTTATTGCATTGCTGAGAAGGACCCCTCACCGGGCTTGCCCCCTCTATGAAGATGGCAGAAGCTACTCCAGGGCAGACTTTGAGGTGCACCTGTCTGGCTCTGCCTGGGCTGCACCCACCTGGAGCCACTGTGGATGCCAGTGGATGCCCAGGCCTGGCTTGTGCCCACTGTAGGGAAGGGAGGGGGTGGGCCCGTCCCCAGAGCACTGGAGCCCCCAAGCCTTGTCCCCAGTGCCCAGCTGTACTGATGCAGGGCCAGCCTCAACCCTGCGGTAGGCACTGGGTCCAACTCTGCGTGTGTATGTGTTCTCCAAAAAACCCTTCAGATTGCGGCTGGGATGTTGACATTGTAACCATCAGTGTGAAGAGCCAATGTGTTCTTGTTTCATTGTTACCTCCACTTGTAAGATGTTGCTCTTGGTGCTCATCCCCCAGCCACCCTGATTAAACCACACGTGAGCTCTCAAAAAAAAAAAAAAAAATTTCCAGCCCCTCTTCATCTAGGATCCTCCACCTCTCCCTAACCCTAGCCCTGTCTGTGCTGAGAGTTACTGGATTACAATATGCAGGACGGGAACTCAGTTACTAGTATTGTTCTACTAGTCGTCCCTGGTCTAATGATGTGGCTTCTTAGAAAGATGATGGTTCAGCTGGCGCCAGGGCTCAATAGGCTAATCCTGGCGCCGGATTCTGTCCCGGTTGCCCCTCTTCCAGGCCAGCTCTCTGCTGTGGGCAGGGAGTGCAGTGGAAGATGGCCCAAGTGCTTGGGCCCTGCACCCCATGGGAGACCAGGAGAAGCACCTGGCTCCTGCCTTCGGATCAGCACGGTGCACCGGCTGCGGCAGCCATTGGAGGGTGAACCAACGGCAAAGGAAAACCTTTCTCTCTGTCTCTCTCTCTCACTGTCCACTCTGCCTGTAAAAAAAAAAAAAAAAAAAAAAAAAGATGATGGCTCATTTTCTTGTTAGCTTTAGGAATGCAGTAATGCAGTGACACAGCTAACATCGTCTACACTGATTCTCCCTGCTGTCAACACACCCTGAGACACGCTGGTCCTGAACGAATGGGAGAATGAAGGAATAAATAAAGTATACAGGGGAATGGGGAAGGCATTTGACACAGTCATTGAGGTCCCACTTGGGATGCCCACATTCAGTAGCAGAGTGCCAGCTCCACTCCTGATACCAGCTCCCTACTAATGTGCAACCTGGGAGGCAACACATGATGGCTCAAGTCATTGGGTCCCTGCCACCCATGTGGGAGACCCAGATTGAGCTCCCAGATTTGCTCTGGCCCAGCTCTGGGTGTTATGGGTATTTGTTTCTTGTCTCTTATTTTAAGATTTACTGTATTTATTTGAAATGAGAGTAGCAGAAAGAGAGAGATGGGGTGGGATGGAGAGAAAGAGAGAGAGAAAGAGAGGGTTGGATAAGAGAAAGAGAGAATCTTCCTGGTTCACTCCCCAAATGGCCACAATGGCTGGGGTTTGGCCAGGCCGAAGCCAAGAGCCCAGAACTCCATCGAGGTCTCTCACATGAGTGACCAGATAGGAAGCAAAGCAGCTGGGACCCAAACCAGGACTCCAATATTGGATTCCAGCATTGCAAAGAATTTCTTAGCCCATTGCACCACAATGCTGACCCCTGTTACAGGTATTTGAAGAAAATTAGGGGAAGGGAGCTCTCTCTCTGGGTGTCTCTATCTTTGTCTACCTCCGACTGTCTGCCTTCCTCCCTTGTCTTTCACATCCATAGATAAACACACTTTTTTAAAAGTCCATAGTAGGGGAGAGCATAGGCTTTAGAACCAGTGTGTAAGTGCTTAATAAATCCAGTGCTGGTTCCTCTCTTACCTGGCCTATTTTATTTCTTTAGGTAGGGGAGGCAAATTCACAGAACCAGAAAGGAAAATGGTAACCAAGGGCTAGAAGGAGTGGGAAGTGATAGCCATTGATAACATTACTATTAAAAAACATCTGGAGATCAGTTTCACATACTACAAATACATTTAACCCTGCTGAACTATACAGTTAAGCATGGCTGAGAACAGACTTTTCCTATCATATGGACTTTATCACAGTGAATAATGAAGACAGCAACTATAAAATCCTCCGGGTATTTAGTTTAGGAGAGGGTTGTTCCGTGTGTATGACTACATTGGTGATATGTATGCTTTCTCACATCTGAAATCCCCTGCATTTGCATGTAAGATACACAAAGAAAGAAGAGTTTTGATGGCAGGCTTCTGCTTTAAAGTGGGTGAGGTTTCTGACTCCTTTCAAAATCTCTTTTAGGAGATGCACGACCCAGGTGATGGCCAGTCATCATTGCCCTATCTCTTGGGTCTGCCATTGATGGTAAAAATCTGAATGTTGGAACTGAGTGTTAACTTCTGTTTTATACCCTGTAAAAGGAAAGATTTCCACTGAGCACTCAACAACTTCTGAGAATGCAACACATCTTTGCTTCTAGCCAGACTACTTGCCAGGTAGTATTTATTATGTTTTTTTTTTAAATTAGTATAGACATCAACCCTGTGAAATTAGGGGTGTACAAAGAAGTAACCTGAAGCTCAGAAAATGAAGGCATTTTTTCAAGTTCATAGAGTCAATTTTCTTCTGCCTGGATTTTAACAGTTGGGATGAGTTGTTTGGTTTGTATCCAGGTGAGTACCTGCCCTTTCTATTAATAATGAGAATCTGAATGTATGTGAAGGGGCATTATTATTCTCAAGGTGTGATGTAGTAAAAAGAACTGGAACTTTGATGCTAGGTGTTGTCGTGTTAAAATCCCAGTTCCTGTTCTGTCCTGACGTTTAGCAAATCACCTACTCTCACCTCAAAAAAAAAAAAAAAACACATTGTGAGAATTAAAGCAAATACTTTGTACCAAAGGGTACTTGAATGCATGTTAATTTTTCTAGCTCATGCTAGGTGGAAGGTAAGTACACATCCCTATAACATCTCAAACAAATTGGTTAAATACTTGATACTACTTAGAGGTGGTCAAATTTATTAAAATTTATTTGAAAATCAGAGGAATGGGGGGAAAGGCTCCCATTTGCTGATGTACTCCCCAGATGCCTGCAATGGCTAGGAGTCCAGAACTCAATCCAGTCTCCCACATAGATGGCAGGGGCCCAATTAATTTGAGCCATCACTGTTGCCTCCCAGGATTTGTGTCAGTAGTAAGTAGGAATCGGGAGCCAAGGCTCAGCATCAAACCAGGCACTGCAATGCGGAACTCCAGCATTTTAACATGCTATGCTAACTGCCTGCTCCTTAATTAATCTCAGTTACAGCAAATGCCTACCTAAAAATTTGGCATTTTTGAGAAATCTAAGGAACATATCCTGAAACTGAGTAAATCTTACTACAGCTCCTGCAGGTTGAGACTCAACAGACCAATCCTGAGGCAGTGGGTGAGGCACCGTGAGAACTCTGGGGAGGAATGAGGAAAGCCTTCTGTCCTGGAGCTGTGTAGAATTTGGTCAGGGAGGTAAGCACAGAGACAGATGAAGACAGGAAAGTGTACGTTTCCCAGGACTGGTGCCGGCAATAACATTGTGTGGATTTGGAAGAGAGGGGGAGACCACTTAGAAAGAACCAAGAGGGGCCGGCGCTGTGACACAGCAGGTTAAAGCCCTGGCCTGCAGCGCCGGCATCCCATATGGGCACCTGTTGCTATGGATTTGTTCTGAGATGAGGAGCATGGTGGGGGCAAGAGGTGCAGAGTCACCACACAGACCCCGGGAGTCGGGTGAAAGCAGGCCTGAGGCAAGCAGCCTGCAGACTCATTTATTTCAGTTGCTACAGCAGCTTATATAGCCAAGGCAGCCAATCAGTCAAGGGGCGGTTTATGCCCTAACCAATCACAGCCTGTTGCCAGGCAGTATCCAAAGCCATCCAATCACAGCCTGTTGCCAGGCAGGCTCTGTTGCTATGTGATTTCCAAAGCCATCCAATCACAGCCTGCTGCCAGGCAGGCTCTGTTGCCAGGTAGTTTCCCAGGGGGTTACCCAGGGGTTTTCGAAGCCACTCCTGCCTGAGTAACTGACACTGGCTTGCCAGTGGTCATCTTGGCATGGCCTTCTTTTTTTTTTTTTTTTTTTTTTTTTTTACAGGTGGAGTTAGACAGAGAGAGAGAGAGACAAAGAGAAAGGTCTTCCTTTTTCCGTTGGTTCACTCCCCAAATGGTCGCTATGGCTGGCACACTGCGCTGATCTGAAGCCAGGAGCCAGGTACCTCCCCCTGGTCTCCCATGCAGGTGCACGGCCCAAGCACTTGGGCCATCCTCCACTGCACTCTCGGGCCACAGCAGAGAGCTGGACTGGAAGAGGAGCAACTGGGACAGAATCCGGCACCCCAACCGGGACTAGGACACAGGGTGCCGGCGCCACAGGCGGAGGATTAGCCTAGTGAGCTGTGGAACCAGGGCATGGCCTTCTCATTCCACCACAGGTGCCGGTTCTGACCCACTTCCAATCCAGCTCTGCTATGGCCTAGGAAAGCAGTAGAAGATGGCCCAAATCCTTGGGTCCCTGCACCCATATAGGAGACCCGGAAGATGCTCCTGGCTTCGGATTAGCTCAGCTCTGGCCATTGCGGTCATTTGGGGAGTGAACCAGCAGATGGAAGACCTCTCTCTCTGGCTCTACCTCTCTCTGTAACTCTGCCTTTTAAATAAGTAAATCTTATTTAAAAAAAAAAAAAAAAGGACCAAGAAGACTTCATGACCCACTTCCCGCACTCTCTCCTTCTGTCCCTCTTAGTACTATGGGATTCTCCTAAAGTCACTGATTCCCTTGTCTCTCAGTAACAAGGTAGAGATAATGTCACTATATCTTAATAGCTAGCCCCAGAATTACTTCTGAGGGTAGAAGCAACTAGGTTTGGAAAAATCAGCTAGAGAGTGATGTATAATAATAGGTGTTGGGGCCGGTGCCGTGGCTCACTTGGTTAATCCTCCGCCTGCAGTGCCAGCATCCCATATGGGCACCGGGTTCTAGTCCTGGTTGCTCCTCTTCCAGTCCAGCTCTCTGCTGTGGCCCAGGAGGGCAGTGGAGGATGGCCCAAGTGCTTGGGCTCCTACACCCGAATGGGCGACAAGGAAGAAGCACTCCTGGCTTTGGATTGACATAGCGCCGGCCGTAGCGGCCATTTGGGGAGTGAACCAACGGAAGGAAGACCTTTCTCTCTGTTTCTCTCTCTCACTGTCTACAACTCTACCTGCTAAATTAAAATAATAATAATAATAATAATAATAATAATAGGTGTTGAGGTGGAAAGATCCCACCAAGGCGCTGGCTCTTAGAGGAGGGGCAACTTGCTGTGTGACCTACAGGGAGCATTTGGAATTCTTGAGGGTAGTCTACAAGGGGCAGTGTGAGGAAAAAGAGAACAGAGGAAATGGGACAGAACAGGCGGAGGGTGGCAGAGTTGTGCTGCTGCCCATCAGTGACATACCTGCTTCTTCCAAGATCGCTACCTACCCCAGGCAGCTTTGAGTGAGTGCCTTGTTGCAGAAAACAGGAAGGGACCATGTTTCTTTTTACATATACATAATTTTTTTAATTTTAATTTTTAATTAGTTTTTAACAGAGACGATGTGATTTGTAGATACACTTCTAAGAACATAATGATATTCCTTTCCTTGCTCCCTCTTCCTCCCTCCCCCTCACTCCCTCTCACCATCCTTCCATCAGGGACCACATTTCGTTTCAGCATTGTTCAGAGAGAGGTGAGGAGGTGGAAATGTCCTTCCTGAAGTTACCTACTTCTTTCTTTAAAGGTTTATTTATTTAGTTGAAAGGCGGAGTTACAGAGAGGCAGAGGCAGAGGCGGGGGGTGGGGGTCTTCCATCTGATAGTTCACTCCCAGATGGCCACAAGGGTCGGAGCTGTGCTGATTCGAAGCCCAGAGCCAGGAGTTTCTTCTGGGTCTCCCACATGGGTGCAGGGGCCAAGGACTTGGGCCATCTTCTACTGCTTTCCCAGGCCATAGCAGAGAACTGGATCAGAAGTGGAGCAGCTAAGACTCGAATTCAGCATTTGAGGGGAAGAGAGAGAGAGTGAGTATGTGTACATGTGTGTGTGTTTGTCACCATCCACTGGTTCACCCTCCAAATGCCTACAATGATCTCAGTCAGGCCAAAATTGGGAGCCAGGTACTTAATTCAGGTTTCTCACATGGGTGGCAGGAACTCAATCATTTAAGCTAATACTGTCAGCTCATAGGACCTGCATTAGCAAGAAACTAGAATCAGGGGCAGGAGCCAGGAATTAAACCCAGGCACTCCAGTACAAGACAATAGGATCCTAACCAATATCTTAACCACTGGACCAAATTCCTGCCCCTCTTTACTAATATTTCTAGTTTGCTCAAAGATCATTTTCTTGACTTCATCCATATCTCCTTTAGTTCTCTGAGCATCTTTTTTTTTTTGAAAGATTTATTTATTTATTTGAAAGTCAGAGTTACAGAGAGGAGAAGCAGAGAGAGACAGAGAGAAGTCTTCCATCTGCTGGTTCACTCCCCAATTGGCCACAATGGCCAGAGATGTGCTGATCCAAAGTCAGGAGCCAGGAGCTTCTTCCAGGTCTCCCGCATGGGTGCAGAAGCCCAAGGACTTGGGCCATCTTCTACTGCTTTCCCAGGCCATAGCAGAGAGCTGGATTGGAAGTGGAGGAGCCGGGACTCATATATGAGATGCTGGCACTGCATGTGGTGACTTTACCCGCTATGCCACAGCACTGGACCCATTACCTAGTTCTTGAAAGGGCCAGGTATGGGTTGGGAGTCCAAGCCATTTTACCCAGCTCTTTGAAGGCCAGAAGGGTCCTCAGCTGAACTTTGAGTGATATCTCTGGGTCTTTTCATTTTTCTCTCCCCTCAAAAGCCTACCCAGTACAGAGCTTTACGGGTAGAGAAGGCAGGGTGTAAATACCCATAGTGCTGAATCTACTCTAAAGAAAGTTTGCACAGTTGTCCTGTGTATCCGTAGAGTGGACTCAATCTACTACCGATTGAAAGGATTTAGGGCCGGTGCCGCAGCTCACTAGGCTAATCCTCCGCTTGAGGTGCTGGCACACCGGGTTCTAGTCCCAGTCGGGGTGCCGGATTCTGTCCCAGTTGCCCCTCTTCCAGGCCAGCTCTCTGCTGTGGCCTGGGAGTGCAGTGGAGAATGGCCCAAGTCCTTGGGCCCTGCACCTGCATGGGAGACCAGGAGAAGCACCTGGCTGCTGGCCTCAGATCAGCGTGGTGCGCCGGCCGTAGCAGCCATTGGAGGGTGAACAACGGCAAAAGGAAGACCTTTCTCCCTGTCTCTCTCACTGTCCACTCTGCCTGTAAGAAAGAAAGAAAGAAAGAAAGAAAGAAAGAAAGAAAGAAAGAAAGAAAGAAAGAAAGAAAGGAAGGAAGGAAGGAAGGAAGGAAGGAAGGAAGGAAGGAAGGAAGGAAGGAAGGAAGGAAGGAAGGAAGGAAGGAAGGAAGGAAGGAAGGAAGGAAGGAAGGAAAAAAGAAAGGATTTGGGAAGAAATTGCTTCTGTACTGAACATGAACTTTTTCTCTTGCCATTGTTTCCCAACCAATATAGTATAACAAATATTTACAGAGCATTTATATTGTATTTGTTATTGTAATATAGAAATGACTGAAAACAGACAGTGGCTGTGCATAGGTCATTTGCAAATATTCCATCATTTCATAGAAGGGCTTCAGCATGAGAGGATTTTGGTATTTCATGGTAGCACAGGGCTGGGGGCCCAGGACCAATTTCCTAGCACACTGAGGGATGTGGTTTCTGCTGTCATGGTGCTTAAAATTGAGTGAAAACAACACATGTGTATTTCACATATAAAAATAAACCTAATCCTAACAATCCTGGGAAATGTCGATAAAAATACTAGTTCAACAGGCCTCACTCTTTTCTTGGAATTTTCAGTATCCTTCAAGGTTCAGCCCCCATGCCCCCATGAAATCCACCTGGATTTTCAGTGATGTTTCCTGTTTGAAATGCTGTGACATTTTATGACTGCGTCAGCCATTTGACACCAATCATTTATTTTTCAGGTGGATGTCTTGCCATGGAAAACACTATATACTCAATCCCTGAGGACAGGAAGAATGGCCACCATTGTCAAGAGCCTCACTCTTCCCCTAGACACGTAGCTGTTCAGTTCGTTTAATTGATCACGTGTGTCCTGTATGTTAGTCTCAGAAATCATCTTTGTGTTGAATGTGCAAGCACTGAATAAATATTTGCTAAACTGAGTTGGATGGTTCACTCCTACAGACCTCTCGAGAATACACGATTTGTAGACATCACTCTTCGGATGAGTAAATTGAACTGTTTTTCTGGTTGGTTGATAAAAGGGGATGCACAAATGTTCTTGGTATGTTGATGAAGATTGCTGTATGAAATTGTGTGTGCACAATCATCGGGTTAGGGAATGTTATTATTTGAAACAATTTTCGAAGAGGCTTCTCTTCATTGTATTTGATTTTGCTCAATTCTGATGAATGCCACAAATTACATGTTAGAAGGAAATGTCTAATTCCTCTATTCTACACTATTGTCTGTGGTATCATATACAAGCATCTGGAAAATGCATATTATGACAAAACTATGTATGGAATTCAAATACTTTTTGCCTTCAAATTTATGTTCAATTCCACTTTTCCACAAACTTTGAAGTACCCTCATATGTTCTCTATACAGTGAGTTTTAAAAACATGTATTCTCGGACATAGTGTTGAATTCCTCATCCAGGTTAGCTGGTGGCATCCTTGGTCAACTAGCCTGATAATCTGGGAGCCACCCAGGCTTCCTCCCGCTGCCTCTGTAGCCACATCTCAGCATAGGTCACTGTCTCCTCAGGCTCTTCCTCCGTGCACTTCCCCAGTATGCTGCCTTTGTGAGGCACCCACACTGGGCAGCTTGCAGTTCCACAGTGCTAGGCAATGAATCTCCTTGCCCTCCAACCCAGTTTCCACATCATCTCTAGAGTATCAGCTCTCAATGCCAGGGAACAGGGGTAGAATTTCATGCCCATTTAGGGACATTTGGAAATGTCTGAGACACTTCTGGTTGTCAAGACAGGGGCAGAAGGAGTGTGGGGGTTTGGAGTGAAGGGGGAGTGAGCAGGGTTGCTACCAGCACATAATGGTTAGAGGCCAGAAGAGTTGCTAAACATCCTACAATGCACGGGACAGCCTGATTCTGACAACAGCTTTCCAGCCCATACAGCAATAGTACTGAGGTTGAGAAACCCTGACCTAGAGCGATTTTTCTAAAACAAAAATCTGCTTAAATTCCTGGAAAATACAACATGTCTTTGAGGGAGATGTTTTGGACTCATATTTTCTCATTCCCCAGCCACACAACATAAATTCTCACTGCCTGAGTATGCCGCCTTCTCCAGGCGCCTGTGACTTTTCTGCTACTTGCAGTTTTTTTGTTTTGTTTTGTTTTTTGTTTTTTTGTTTTTGGTTTTTTTTTTTGACAGGCAGAGTGGACAGTGAGAGAGACAGAGACAGAAAGAAAGGTCTTCCTTTTGCTGTTGGTTCACCCCCCAATGGCTGCTGCGCTGATCCAAAGCCAGGAGCCAGGTGCTTCTCCTGGTCTCCCATGCAGGTGCAAGGCCCAAGGACTTGGGCCATCTTCCACTGCACTCCCGGGCCACAGCAGAGAGCTGGACTGGAAGAGGAGCAACCGGGACAGAATCCAGTGCCCCAGCTGGGACTAGAACCTGGTGTGCCGACCTGCAGGCGAAATATTAGCCTATTGAGCTGCAGCGCCAGCCACAGCTTCTTTTTTAAAGATTTATTCATTTATTTGAAAGAGCTACATAGAGTCAGAGGGAGAGACAGAGAGCGAGAGCAATAGAAAGAGAGAGAGAAAGAGAGAGAGAAAGAGAGAGAGGTCTTCTGTACACTGGTCCACTCCCCAATCTCAAGCCAGGAGCCAGGAGCATTCTCTGGGTCTCCCACATGGGTGCAGGGGCCCAAAGGTTTGGGCCATCTTCCACTGTTCTCTCAGGCCATAGCAGAGAGCTGGATTGGAAGTGGAGCAGCTGGGACTCGAACTGGCACCCACATGGGATGCAGGCACTGCAGGCAGCAGCCTTACCTACTATGCCACAGCGCTGGCCCTGCAGCTTTTTTTAAAAATTTATTTATTTATTTATTTATTTGAAAGTCAGAGTTACACAGAGAGAGGAGAGACAGAGAGAGAGAGAAAGAGAGAGAGAGAGGTCTTCCATCCACTGGTTCACTCCCCAGTTGGCCATAATGGCTAGAGCTGCACCGATCCAGGAGCCAGGAGCCTCTTTCAGGTCTCCCACATGGGTTCAGGGGCCCAAGGATTTGGGCCATCTTCCATTGTTTTCCCAGGCCACAGCAGAGTGCAGCTTCTTATTTAAAAATATTATTTTATTTGAAGGAAAAATTAAAGAGCAAAAACAAAGAAACAGAGAAGTCTTCCATCTTCTGGTTCACTCCCAAAATGGCCACAACAACCAGGGCTGGACAAGGCAGAAACCAAGAACCAAGAACTTCTTCCTGATCTCCCGCATAGGTGCAGGAGCCCAAGCACTTGAGCCATCTTCTGCTGGTTTCCCAGGCACATCAGTAGGGAGCTAGATTGAAAGTGGAGCAGCCAGGACATGAACCAGCACCCATATGGGATGCCAGTATTGCCACAACGCTGGCCCCTGCAGCTTCTTCTGACCTCTTCAGGCTGAGTGTAATGGTTCTGTGACCAGTACATGGTGAAACAAAAATCACAGGAATTGGGGCTGGCACTGAAGTGTAGCAGGTAAAGCTGACACCTACAGTGCCGGCATCCCATATGGGCACTGGTTCAAGGCCCGGTGGCTCCACTTCTGATCCAGTTCTCTGCTATGGCTTGGGAAAGCAGCGGAAGATGGTCCAAGTGCTTGAACCCTTGTACCTGCTTGGGAGACCCAGAGGAAGCTCCTGGCTCCTGGCTTTAGATCAGCATAGCTCTGACCATTATGGCCAATTGGGGAGTGAACCAGCAGATGAAAGACCTTTCTCTCTCTCTCTCTCTCTCTCTCTCTCTCTGCCTCTCCTTCTCTCTGTGTGTAACTCTATCTTTCAAATAAATAAATAAATAAATCTTTTTTAAAAATCACAGGAATTGATTGCTGTTGCAATGAAGTACAGGCCGCAGCTTCCCATATGCACAGCTTTACTCTCAGTAACTCTAGCCACATGGTATTTTTTCAGGCTGCTGTTACAAAGCACTATGTTGTGTTATGCTTCAAGGCCAGTCGTGGGCTTTCCCTTTTTCCCTTTGTTTTGTTTTACTCATTCCAGGGAAGTTTTTTTTTTTTATTTGATAAATGTGAATTTACAAAGTGCAACTTTTGTATTGTGTGGCTTCTCCCCCCAACCTCCCTCCCTCCCACAACCCTCCCCTCTCCCACTCCCACTCCCTTTCCCATCCCGCCCTTCATCCAGTTTCATTTTCAATTACCTTCATATACAGAAGATCAACTTAGTATACACTAAGCAAGGATTTCAACAGGCTGCCCTCACACAACTGCACAAAGTACAGGGTATTGTTCGACTAGTAGTGTTGTTTTTAAGTTTTGTAGTAAAACACATTAAGGACAGAGATCCTACATGGGGAGCATGCACCCAGTGACTCCTGTTGTTGATTTAACAATTGGCACTCTTATTTATGACGTCAGCAATCACCCGAGGCTCTTGCCATGAGCTGTCTAGGCTATGGAAGCCCCTTGAGTTCACCAACTCTGAACTTGTTTGGTCAAGGCCATATCACAGTGGAGGTTCCTTCCTCCCTTTGGAGAAAGGCGCCTCCCTCCTTGATGGCCTGTTCCTTCTGCTGGGGTCTTGTTCACCAGGATCTTTCATTTAGATTGTTTTTGCCACCATGTCATGGCTTTTCATGCCTGTGAGACTCTCATGGGCCTTTTAGCCAGATCCAAATGGCCCAAGGGTTGATTCTGAGGCTGGAGTGCTATTTTGGGTGTTTGCCATTCTATGAGTCTGCTGTGTGTCCTGCTTCCCCTGCAGGATCATTCTCTCCCTTTCAATTCTATCCTTCATTATTTGCTTACACTGGTCTTATTTGTAAAATCTCTTCGACAGTTACCCTAGCTTTTTGTTCAGTTGTGTATTTATACTTATCACTTTACTAAGTGCACTGGCATTGGTACATGCCTCCTTGATAAGATTGAGTTGAAATCCCCTGGCACATTTCTAGTCCCACCATTGGAGGTAAGTCCAAGTCAGCATGTGCCGACCTATATATCTCCTCCCTCTCTTATTCCCACTCCTATGTTTAACAGAGATCACTTTTCTGTTAATTTTAAATGCCTAAGAATGATTGTGTATTGATTACAGAGTTCAACCAGTGGTATTAAGTAGAACAAACAGAGCAACAACAACAACAACAATACTAAAAGGAATAAAATAGTAAGTTGTTCCTCAACAGTCTAGATCAGGGCTGATCATGTCATTGTCTCTCATAGTGTCCATTTCACTTCAATGGGTATCATTTTAGATGCTCGTTTAGTTGCCATCGATCAGGGAGAACATATGATATTTGTCCCTTTTGGACTAGCTTATTTCACTCAGCATGATGCTTTCCAGCTTCCTGCATTTTGTTGTAAATGCCTGGATTTCATTGTTTTTTACTGCTGTATCATGTTCCATAGAGTACATATCCCATAGTTTCTTTATCCAGTCATCGGTTGATGGACATTTAGGTTGCTTCCACGTCTTAGCTATTGTGAATTGAGCTGCAACAAATATTGAGGTGCAAATGGCTCTTTTTTTTCTCCCTTTTAACTCCATTTGGGTAAATTCCAAGGAGTGGGATGGCTGGGTGCCATGGAAGGTTTTAATTCTCTGGACTTCTCTTACAGGCAGCCAAATTAGAGCAACCCAAACGAACATAAGGTTCATCACTCCACCTGCAGGCCTTTGCAAGCACTGAGCAGCAACCTTCTTACAGCAAACCTGGCGCCTGGCTGCGTGGTTTTGGCCTGTATCACAGCTACCCCAAAGATGTGCTCCTGCATTTCCTGTGACACCAGCCTCCCTTCTCCGCAGCTTCAACAGAAACCCAGGCCATCCTCTCTAAGAAGAGCGGTAGTTCTTGAGATTGCTCATCTGCTGTTTAATCCTCTATCCGTAGATTAAGCTACCTCTTTCCTGTACCCTCAAACTTTGTCCTCGTTATTTTGATTCAGCACCAGGGACAGGGACAGAGCTTTGGT